AGACTATAACTTCTGTTTTGTCTGCATTCAGAAGCAGAAAGTTAAGAGTCATCCAGGTTTTTATGTCTTCAAGACATGCCTGTAATCTATGTAATGGGTTAGCTTCATCTGGATTTATAGACAGATATAGCTGGGTATCATCAGCATAACAGTGGAAATTAATCCCATGCTGTCTAATAATTCTACCAATTGGGAGCATGTATAAAGTAAAGAGAATTGGTCCTAGCACTGATCCCTGTGGTACTCCACAGGTAACCTTTGAGCGTGTTGAAGATCTATCATTAACATGAACAAACTGAATTCGATCAGATAGATAAGATTTAAACCAGTCTAGTGCTGTTCCTTTAATTCCAACAAAATATTCAAGTCTTTCTAAAAGAATATTATGGTCAACTGTATCAAATGCAGCACTAAGATCCAACAGGACGAGCACAGATACAAGTCCATTATCTGAGGCCATGAGAATATCATTAGTGACTTTCACCAGAGCTGTTTCAGTGCTATGATGAGCTCTAAAGCCAGACTGAAACTCTTCAAAAAGTTCATTATGGTGGAAGTGATCGCAAACTTGTTTGGCAACTACTTTCTCAAGAATTTTGGATAAGAAAGGAAGATTGGATATAGGTCTATAATTGACCAAGTCATCTGGGTCAAGAGACGGTTTCTTAAGCAGAGGTTTAATTACAGCAACCTTAAAAGCTTTAGGTACATATCCCTGTAACAGAGATAGATTAATCACATCTAAAATGGAGGAGGAGATCAAAGGGAATACCTCCTTAAATAACCTGGTTGGAACTGGATCTAACATACAAGTTGAAGGCTTAGATGAAGACAATAATTTTGCTAATTCAGAGAGTTCAACTGGATCAAAGCAGTCTAAACCCAGTTCAGATTCCATGACTACCTCAGGTACAATCGCGGATAGAGGAGTGCTTATGATCTTATTTTTAATAAGATCAATCTTATTTATAAAGAATCCCATAAAGTCATTGCTGCTAAGAGCAGGTGGAATGGACGGTTCAACAGAGCTATGGCTCTGGGTGAGTTTGGCAACTGTATTAAAAAGAAATCTAGGATTATTCTTATTCTCCTCTATTAATGAGGAGAAGTATGCTGCTCTTGCTTTACAAAGGGTCCTCTTATACAGCAGTAAACCATTTTTCCAGACTAGGAAGGACTCTCGCAGGCCTGTGGAGCGATATTTTCTCTCCAGTTTCCTAGCATTTTGCTTCAAAGTACGCAGCTCTGCATTAAACCAAGGAGCAAGCTTTCTATTTTTAACGGTTTTCATTTTCAAAGGAGCTGCGTTGTCTAAGGCAATACGCAGAGAACTAGCAACCCCATCAACAAAATCATCAACCTGTGAAGGGGAATAAGCTAAACTTTTGCACTCTGCAGCACTGCTCAGTGACACAGAGGAGAGAGAAAGTGAAGCAGATTCTTTAAAATTTATAACTGCACTATCTGATAAAGATCTACTAAAATTGAACCTTCTTTTGGGGGAGGAGAACTCTGTTAAAGTAATCCTGAAGGTTATTAGAAAGTGGTCAGAGAGGACAGGGTTGTGAGGAAATACTGTTATTTCTTCACATTCTATGCCGTATGTCAGCACAAGATCCAAAGTATGAAGATGAGAATGCGTGGGACTATTCACATTTTGAACAAAGCCAATAGTGTCTAAGATAGCATTAAAGGCTGCTCTTAAGCTATCGCCTTCAATGTCAGCATGGATGTTAAAATCTCCCACTATGATGACCCTGTCAGTATTTAATACCAAATCAGAAAGGAACTCTGAAAACTCATCTAAAAATTCAGAGTAAGGACCTGGTGGACGATACAAAGTTACAAAAAGAAGAGGTTTTCTTGCCTTGAAATTTGGATCAGGGAAATTAAGGGTTAAATGTTCAAAAGAGTTGTAGGTATTAACTGTTTTGGGAGTAATCAGTAAGTCAGACTGGAAGATTGTTGCTACTCCTCCTCCTCGCCCAGAACTTCTGGGGATGTGAAAATTTAAATAGCTTGAAGGAGTTGCCTCATTTATGCTCACATAATCCTCTTGCTGCAGCCAGGTTTCTGTTAGGCAAAACAAGTCAATGTGATTATCACAAATCAAGTCATTAACTAGTAGACTTTTAGAGGAAAGCGATCTTATGTTAAACAGACCGCATTTAATTGTTTTAACTTTTTCCCCAATTTGAGTTATTTTGATTTTAATTAGATTATCATGATTTACTCCTTTGGGAATCTTTGCTAATTTATTAGATTTTGGTCGTGGGCAAGACACTGTCTGGATGGAGTAAAGAGTGGGTAACAGTAGAGAAGCTGCAGAGATGTGTGTTAAACTACAACTCTGCTTCCTGGTCTGCACCCTGGGTGGTCAGGGTTTTGGAGGACTAATAAATGTGGCCAGATTCCTAGAAAGAAGAGCTGCACCATCCAAAGTGGGATGGATGCCGTCTCTCCGAATCAGACCAGGCTTTCCCCAAAAGGATTGCCAATTATTAATGTAGCCCACGTTGTTTTCAGGGCACCACCTAGACAACCAGCTATTACCTCTCCATCACCTGGGGACGTTCACCTCCACATCCACACATCTTCTGCAGACTGGAAGCTGGTTTGTGGTGTTATTGCTGCTGATGTTCGAGGTGAATTTTCTCCCACCGGTGCCTTGTTATTAGATATGATATGAATAATGTATAAACGAGATGAATGGATCCTTCAGTGGCATGTGTCAATGTTGGCTTTAACAGCAGCTGCGTGTTGACAGGCTGCTTTTTGTAAAGTCCCTTGTTCTTCTGAGACTCAATGAAATAGCAAGTCATTTCTGTGGCTCTGTGTGTTACCTTGGTCACTCAATAAAGTAAGAACCTGAACTTTTGTAAATGAAATTAAATACAGTCACCTCATCATACTGACCATTTAAAAGTTATATATCCAGGTGGTATCATTAGGTCTAGGAGTACTTTCTATAGCTGCATTTGATGCTTCTATCCAAGAAACAGTCACTTTTTATTTTGCTTTGGTATTGACTCCTTATCCTGCATGATGGAAGCGAGAAAGTATGAATTGTTGCTGCAACAGAATCAGTATCAGTCCATCAATAAATGGAAGGCAAGTCAGGCATGTTAAAGAGCCTGTTATCGGATTCGGATGCTTGGAACACGGGGAGGAAAATTGGGGGGAAGGGGTGACAGGTCGGAGTACTAATGGGCAGGCGGAAGAGGACATGAATCAGAGGTTCCTTGCAGCAGCAATCACACTGCAGGATTTTCCCAGAAACTGTCAGACACTGCCCCAATTTTGTTATTCGTGGACTACTTTTTGAAGTGGGAGTGTGATCTGTCACACTGAATGAGCACTAATCACAGATTAAAGCTCACAAATAGACATTTTCTAACAAAAGGGAACATTTTCGATCAGATGGATGATGCATTGAGCCTTGTGTAGTTTATAATGTTACCAAACGCCTTCTTTATGACCCCCCATAGGGAAGAGGCACAACCAAAAAGAAATGGCCAGGGGTGCTTTGTATAGTAGAGACATCATTACTCATTGTTTGGGCTGCAATAGTTCAGCTAGTATCTTTGCTATTGAAAAACAAAGGCCAAAAAACGTGAATTATTGGGACAGAAGTCCTTTCTATCAAATATAGGTTTTACAAAAACAATATTTCTATTAAAGGAATAGTACACCCAAAACATGATCAGCCTTCATTTTCTACTCACCCCCATGCTGAACAACACTCTGGAGTACTTTTGTGATATCTCAAATGCATCTGGAGATCTGGGAGGCTTCTTGCTGTCTGCTGACATTCAAATAATGGAGGTCTACAGTGCCCGAGGCAGAAAGGTCCATAAAAGTCCACAAAAAACGTGTCAATATTCCTCCATACTGCTCGTCCAATGTATTCCAAGTGTCCTGAGTGGGTAGCATCCAGAATTTACTCGAAACGAAGTCATTTAGAATGTTTTTAGAGCATAAACAGTAGTGTATAGTATTTCCTGAAAGCGCGTGCCAGCGCGTTCAGGACGCTACGGAAGCCGGCAGACCAAACCAGATGAAAGTGCGCATTCAGCGTCTGCTCTGCTGATAATGCAAGCGTAGAAAAAGAAATGTGCTGTTTACCTGTGCAAAAAAAGAAACAACGAAAGAAAAATGTCTGAGGACTTCAGTGTTGAGGAAGAGCATGAGTTCTTTGCCGAGCTGAATGCGCACTTTCATCTGGTTTGGTCTGCCGCGGTTTCCGTAGCGTCGTGAACTCGCAGGCGCGAGTGACTTCGTTTCGAGTAAATTCTGGATGCTACCCACTCAGGACACTTGGAATACATTGGACGAGCAGTATGGAGGAATATTGACACGTTTTTTGTGGACTTTTACGGACCTTTCTGTCTCGGGCGCCATAGACCTCCATTATTTGAATGTCAGCAGACAGCAAGAAGCCTCCCAGATCTCCAGATGCATTTGAGATATCAAAAAAGTACTCCAGAGTGTTGTTCAGCATGGGGGTGAGTAGAAAATGAAGGCTAATCATGTTTTGGGTGTACTATTCCTTTAATATCCCTGTCCAGAGAGAATATGCAGCCAAGAATCATTGAACCACTTTCTATGGGTACTTTCTATGGGATAAAAAATATGTTGCTCAAAAAAATAACACTGTCAAAAAGAGAGACGTAGGTCTCCACCCATAATCAATTACATTACTACATAAAGGTGTGAAAGTTCTTCACAGCATAGGAACTGGAGTATATTTGGAAATTATGATTAACCTTCTTTGGGTCCAGATCCAGACCAGATTAACTGCTTTGTAAATCTTTGTCATATAATTAGGATGTCCAAAGGATTATAAAGGTGAAAGTTGAATTTTAATGAAGCAACAGGGGATCATCTCCCTTCCTTTAATGGACCGCCTTGTTGGGATTTCTGCTCCTACACCTGAACTTTAACTGAAAGCATCTGCTTTCCCTGTTTCTAAATCTATTTTTAATCTATGGACTTTCCAGGTTGTAACGGCTGCTCCTCAGAAGTTTAAGATCGACATTCTTCCGGTTGATGATGGAACGCCACGGATCGTCACCAATTTGGGACTGCAGTGGCTGGAATACATGGAAAACAAGGTACAATGCAGGCCGTTCTAAGAATGCAAGTTAGAAAATAAGTTTCTCATTAAACAAATGCATTTTTTTCTCTTTTATTGTCTGTTAGATGTGGAGAAAATGTACTATTCTAAAACTTTAATTCCTCCACTTGCAGGTGTTTTTTTTTTAACATAGTAAAGCAAATTATGCAACATTATGTTGTTTATTTGAACACTGTAGAAATGGCATTTTGTGAAATTATGTGCTCTGCTTGCACTGCTGCTAATTACATCCTCTGTGTTTTATCACTTAAGCAAATTATGAAAGTGTTAAACCTCTGATTCCTCTCAGCGGTTGCAGAGCAGAAAGCAAAGCCTGTTAGCGAATATTTGTGTGGTCATGAGGTGTTTTTTCAGCTGCTGCTCACGCAAACACTTGAGCTTGTTGTCATTCAAGCGTGAAACTTTTATTTAGAGTGTAAATAGTAATTTGCTTAAACTAACCAAATTAAATTTTACTCTTCTCTGGTGGGCTGTTTTTTTTTTTATAAAAGGTGTTGTTCATTAAAGGTAAAGCACAAACTTGCATAAGATTTTTTTCGGCATCGTCCTGCCGAACAGCCTGTTTCTTTATATATATTTCTACAATGCTTTTCACAGTTTGAATGCTTTTAATAAGATATCTGACATAAAATTCACACCAGATGTTGTGCCTAGTAATTCACATAGAAAAGGATGTAAGTTAGTCCAATCGCGTAACGGTACAACAATAGGCCCATAAGCAACATTATCTGGGTGGGCCCTATATGACGCACAACACCCCATTCCCTTACCAACAGTCTAATGAACTATACACAGTTGTTAACATAGTAATTAAAAGTACCACTCTTTGCTTTGCTATTGGTGTCATGTTTAAACGATTCACCATCATGTTGAAATCTGCCATGTCTTGGGGTATAAATGAGGTCCGGTCAGTTAACCTAGTATCAGGTGGGTTTAAGAGGAATTTTTCGCAGCATTACATCTGCAAAGATACGTCCTAGTCCACAATTGCGAAGGGGTCCACAAGGTGTCAGTGACGCAACTTTAACAATTTAAGTTATGGTATTGTTAAAATAAATTATAACACCAGGAGAAATACTGAACAGTCTTACAGAAAAGTTTTACATATTTTGTGTAGAAGCTGTTTTTGGCAATGACAACTTCAGAAACTCTCCTGTTCTAACAACCTTATTATATAAATTGGTTAAGAAATTATTTTAACCCATTGTTCTAACCACATCATGTGTGAATTTTGCAAGCCTTTTTCTTTTTCTTAAGGGAGTTTTCATAGCTGATATGTTTACCCCTGAGTTCAGACCAAACTAGCTGCATCCAGACACCTTGTCCAATCAGTCATGGTTCCAAACAAACTCTAGAGTAGTTCGTTTTTGTTGTAAATATGATTCAACCTTGATCCTATATAGCTATTAGGTAAACACTGCACGGTTGAGCCAAACATCTATTGCCAAGTATGTGTAGCATTATTGGATGCAGTAGAGCAGCGGTCCCCAACCTTTTTTGCACCACGGACCGCTATTGCAAGCTGACATAACCTGAAAACAGGTTTTAGATCATTTGATTACCAGTTTTCTACAAGTTAACAAACTCATGAATTGAAAATAAACAAACTATAGGTGTGAAAACTTTTATTTTCTTTCTCTGAAACCAACTAAATGTTTCCTTGGCTGTTTTGAAATCCAGTCTCACTTCTTTTTTTAGATTAAGTCCAAACTAACCCATACATTTCTCCAGTATCCCTTCAGTTATATGAAGTCTGCCAAGAACAACACCTGACAACCCAATTATACCACCAGCAAAGTTTCCTTTTAGGATGCTGTCTTTGTGATGACACGGAGAAGCTTTATTTTTTCCTATTCTAATGTGTGTTCATCTTTCTCCTCATCATTGGTGTCCTCACCATTTTCTACCATTTCCTTTCTGTAGCAAACTTTAAACAATCACTTTAATCAAATGGATTTTCTTCAGGTGTGGAGTGGACATATCGACTTTTGCTACATTCACACCGGACGTGCTTTGAGCAGCAAAAAAGCGTCTGCTGCTTCATTTTTTAAGCTTGTACACATTAAGGCAGGACGTGCGTGAAATACATCTTTGGTGCTCCAGAATCACGCCCAGTTAAGTGTGCACAGATGATGCTTCTGTGTTCAATGGCAGAGAGTGGCGTTGCTATATTTGCTGTGATATGCTGGTAAAAAGTAATTTTAATGTATTTTTAAGTGAGAAAGACCACTTCAAAACATCTTTATTTAGCTGTCGGAGCTGCTCAGATGTTCACATACTTGCTGTGCGCTGTCACTGGGAATCCCTAGAAGCAGGTGGGGGTTTTCTGCTACTGTTCGTTGTGGCTGGAAGTAGATGTTAGCGTTTTTCAGGTATGTGGTACAAACTGCAGCCACCTGAATAATAAAAGCAAACATACTTTGCTGGCAGGTTTCAACATTTTAAGTTAATTTAAGCGTTAATAAACAGCTTCAGAGGAGTTATTACAGCACTCTGCATCAGCAGCGCTGTTTGTCCACCTGCCGGCTCCCAGATCAGCTTCTGTAATTGGTTGATGTGGTCATCGAGCAGCAAAAGTTCAGTGTTTCAAACTCCAGCAGCTGCTGCTCTCACAGCGCGTCGCGCGTCAGATGCTCAGAAGCTCATGAGGCGCTGCTTCGGCTGCTCAGATGCCTCACGATGCACTGCTTCTGCTGCTGGAGATGCGCTGCAGGACCTTTAGATGCACCTTGATGCGCGCCAACCATAGACTTTGCATGACGAGCTACTTTTGCTAAATCAATCGGATGCGCTGTGAACCTAGAATATAACTTGTTGTTTTCCTGAGAAAAACTTTTTATAGCTCTGAGCAAGTCCTCCTTTGCTCCTGGATAAATCTTTTGACTATTCCATGAAGTCGCTCATCAGAGAGAGTACAAGGAGTATCTGGTTGATAAAGAAATTCTGTATCATGAATGATTATGATGGCTACGTGTTCAGAAATTACACTTCATCCATTGCCTTATGTATGTTTCACAAAAACCTTTTTGAATATCTTTGCCTTTCTCCGTGTGTGTAATACATTGCTGATAATGAAAATTTTTATAGGCCATCAGTTAATAATCTTTTGATTTTGGACAAAGCACTAGCAGGAATACTTTCTAAAAATTCCCCATTAGATACCCATGATTGATGCGCCTCCAATTTGTAACTCATAGCTTCACAAATGTTCCTGATGGAGCCTATTTTATGTTCAAAGGCCACCAATCTCATTACAAAGAAGGAGCTGCTGACGATGGACCCAGACACTGATGACGGACAGCTGTTGTATGAAATCACAGCGGAGCCGAAGCACGGATTCCTGGATAGCAAGCTCAAACCTGGGAACCCCGTCACTACGTTCACACAAGGTAAGAAGTTTGCTCTACATCTTTACTTCTAGCCTCTTCCACTTGGATCTCAATCGACAACAATTAATTCCTCCTATTTTCTCTCAAATCTTTCCTTCAAAAATTGTTCTGTACAAATACGGTCACTGTTTGTATGTTTAAGAAGCTGAAACAATGTCCTCATATTGTCTCTCCAATTATTAATCCAACAATTTAAAATACTTGTATTTTTTGTAAGTTTTTAATGTTTTAATTATAGCAGCAAAATATAATATACTATGTAATATATATTTTGTGTTTTTTAACATTAAAAACACCCATCCAGAGGATACTGAGATTCGATCTTTTTAGACCGTCACTTTCTTAAACAAAATGAGTAGGATATTAATTAACCTCATCATGGTTAGTCCTGACACATCAGGGTTATAATAATAATAATAATAATTGAACTTTATTTATCTCACATTGGAGAAATTTACCTCTGTATTTAACCCATCCCCTTGAGGAGCAGTGGGCTGCCATCGTGGGGCGCCCAGGGAGCAATCATTTGAATTGATTTGGTTCAGTTTCATGTGTTTCTACTGCCCCCTCTGTCCATTCTAATCAATCAGACTTAAATCATAATCTGTTTGTGTTGTATAGTAACATCCTAATACTTTACCATTATGTACTGTGGGATTTGTTGTGTGTAAAGTACAGATCCCAGGATTTTCCCTTCGTTTACCACTCACAGCTTTTTGAGTTGCTCCTCTGCCGTATCTCACCTAAAGGTTCCCTTGTTTATCTAGTTAATTAGCACTTTTGATTCTGCAGGGTTTTCATTTGGAGTCTGTTTTTATCATGTTCACCTTCTGGCTGCTGCTTGGAATCAGTGTCAGGCAGCTTTTGTGAGATGTTGATCCTTCAGGCTGGAGAGGGACTGCAAACAGTCCTTTTAATGTGTTAGGTGTTCAGTTTGGGGTACAGAAATGCAATTTTCCTAATGATAAGAAATATTTAATGAGTAAGTTTTCCCCCCGGACTAAAATAAAATGTTTCCACACTGCTGTATATATTTCTGTGCCTCTGCCTCTTGTTTGGCTTTTGGTTGCCCTGGGCATCTCTATTTGCCTTTACTCAAAGTCTTACATTTTTTCCATCCTCTTCTGGGAGGTATTGGAGAGCGAAAAATCTCAGCTAGTGATGATTTTTCTAATTTGAACTCTAAAGTGATGGAAAACAGCCAGGGGAGGCATAATGTAAAATAATGAATTTAGAGGAAAGGCAATCTTCACAAAGGATTTTGTTTTTAACATGTCATCCTCCTCAAAATGGAGCGTTAAATAACCAAAACCTGCCAATTTCCTTAGAGGAAATGTAATTGCTACTTTTAGAGCTTTTTGGCAAAATTTGACTCACGATTTGAAAATTAGGCAGCAACAATCTTTTCTTTTTCATCATTGGCTTTGTAAAAACCGTAAATACTCAAATCACCACTCAAAGTTAAGATCTTAGTTTTTATTTATAATTTCCTTTTGTTTTTTTCCAAATATACTCTAATTGGCTCTGCTTTATAGTGAAGAATGAAATCCTAAATTTGGCAGTTTCATTTGTTTTCCTGCTGTAAAAGCGACACTGTTATACTTTTCTAGTTAATTCTGATTATTATGTTTATATTTTGCTGATGCATAAGTCTAAACTGAAGCCATTTAGAGGAAAGACCTGATAGTGTTGCCAAATTCACAAAAGTTCACAGCATTGTCACCTCAGTGTCCAGGAATTTTACAAAGCCCTGACAGCAAAATTTACTTGCCCAGAATCTAATAGACAGACAACCAGTGATAATAACACTGTAAATATTGAAATCTAATTCAGTCTATTTTTCTTGAAAAAAAAGAGTATTTTCCCTTCATTTGAGCAAATAAGTAAAAAAAAAATGCCATTGAAATAAGATATTAACATTTAAAATAAGAAAAGACTGACTCCATTCCCTTATTTCAATTTAACAATATTTATTTGCCCTCTTTTAAGGCCAAAATATTCATTACATTGGCAGATCATCTTATTTTCCTGTTAAGATTAAGAAATAATGTACCGATTTTGCTCATGTTTAAATAATTTTTTTGCAGTAAAAATTGTACCAAATTACTCCAATAGGTGGGGTACCAGGGCATCCTTCACAGTCAAACAGCACAGTGGAATTCAAGGGACCTGAACCCCCAACAGGGACCCGTCTTGTCCCCACGGCTGAATTGTAACATCTCCCAGAGCCATAGACCAGGAACCCATATTTTCTATATGAAACACCACATTTGTGTTTTGAAAGGGTGATCTTTTCATTTTTATCTTCAATTTGATCCATTATTCCTGTGCTACAAATTATTTAGTTTTTAGCAAGATAAAAAAACAAACTTCTATTTAGAAGCGTTAGATAACTGAGGTCTTCAACAAGGTGTCCGTGACCCCTAGGGGTCCACGGAGGTACTGCATGTGGGTCGCAAAGGTTTTGGTTGATTTTTCTGACTTTTTTTTTATATTCCCTCTGCAATTTTTTCCATTAATTGAAATGTATTTAAATACTCATCAACATGAATTCAACACACTGTAGTAAACAGATAAATGGAGGCAGAAGATGTCTTTCAGTCATCAATGCTCACATTCAGCGACACACAGGAGCTCTTTCAAGCTGGGCACCGTTTCATTCACAACACCTGTCCCATCAACAAGGAATCAGAATCAGAAATACTTTAATAATCCCAGGGATACTTTTGTTACATTACTCCATTTGTAATAGAGTGACTATAGGACCAGTTTGATATAACACAATTTCATACATTATATATAATTAGGGGGTCTCCGCTCCATCTTGCCTTCATTTTGGGGGTCCTTCACCTGGAAAATGTTGAAGACCCCTGTTTTAAGACATAATTCTAATTTTCAGTGTTTAACATGTTTAATCCACGAAAATTGTCAATTTCAAATTATCTTGCTTAAAAAAACAATTTCACTTGCTTTGAATGCCCTTTTCTGTGGGATTGAGTTTTCTTTCTTGATTTTAAACTATTTTTGCAGCGTAGGTACAACACCACGGTTGACTTTAGCTTGTAATGTGCTTTATGAATAAATAGAAAACGATTATTTTGACACGCTGCCTTCAAAAGGAAGCAGTTCAGGTATCTAAATGTCTTGTACAGGAATGATCTGAAGATATAGGAGATGAATAGATAGAGAGGTCTTGGTTTTATCTGCAGTAATAAGAGCCACTCAGCCTTGGGCTGTTTTGGTAGAAATAAAAAAGTGCTGAACTAGTAGATATCACTACTTTACCAATTTATTTTTAAAGCACCTTAAAAGAGCAACAAGGCCAAACAAACTACTGCACAACTAGAGGACACAATAAGTACATAAAACAGCAAAAGTGAGAAAAGAAGCCAAAAGCACAATGAGGTCCCAAACTGACAGAGTAATTGACCATGGCCTCAAAGCGCAAGGACTTAATAACAGCGAGAGAAGGAGTCTGCCTCATATAATCCCTCATATCTGATGGATGGAGTTCATAAGTCCATCAGGTCACCTGACCTTAGGCAACACTCTAATTACTACAGCAGAAATAGCTGATGAGATATCTTACAAGTAAAGTTTTAAAATGTAATCAGAAGTTACCTAGAAGACAGGGTATGAAGTCCAGAACTAGAAAAATATGGTCTGTTTGATACATTTCTTAGTTTATTGGTCCATCTAGCTTCTAGCCGTTACCCATGGCTATAAGAAAAGGATGACAGCTCAAAATACAAAACCTTAAACACAATCAAAAATGTTTAAATTAAAAGTCCATGTCTGATTTCTCAACCCAAGGGTGATTCAGGATTTCAACCAGATAAAGTCCCCCCCCGAATTCTATGAAACTCATCATCCATTTAAGATTTTGTCTTTAAGGCACTCCCATCAGATGTTCAACTTTAAAATAATCCCAAACTGGAATTTTCCCATCTTTAATCCTTCTAGCTGATATCAACCTGGGTCTGATCCGCTACGTGCTGCATCAGGAAAACATCCAGGAGACCATGGATAACTTCAAATTCCTGGTCAAAGACAGCAAACCAAATGTGGTCAGCGACAACGTCTTTCATATTCAGTGGTCTCTGATCAGCTTTGAGCACAAGAGGTCTGTATCATTAAAGCTTTTTAACAGACCGTGCACCACTTCCATTTTTACACCTTTAAAATAAAAAATAATGTTGCACTACTCCTATTCCCCTCAGTTACAACGTGAGCGAAAAAGGAGGGACTGTAGCTGTCACTGTGAAGCGAACCGGTAACCTCAATCAGTACTCCATCGTCCTCTGTCGCACTGAGCAAGGCAGCGCTGTTTCCACCAGCAGCACTGGGACTCACCCTGGCCAGCAGGACTACGTGGAATATGCTGGACAGGTACCTTTTCCCTAGTAAGCCTACCTGGACATTTTTACATACACCATCTAACAATAAACTCTCATCTTTTTGTTTCCCTAGGTCCAGTTCGACGAGCGCGAGGACTCCAAGGTATGCACCATAGTGATCAACGACGACAAGGTGTTTGAAGGGATCGAGAGCTTCAACGTGGAGCTGAGCATGCCTGTGTATGCGCTGCTGGGTGAAAACACACGCGCTGTGGTCAACATCAATGACACGGAGGACGAGCCGACTCTGCAGTTTGACAAGAAGACGTACCACATCAATGAAAGCACTGGCTTCTTCAGCGCCCCCATCGAGAGGAAAGGTACCAGATCATCAATAGCTACGTTTACATGCGCAAAATTTCCCCGATCCGATCCAAACCTTGGTTGATCGGAAATTCAAAATCTCCGTTTACATGGACACTAAATGAAATGATCCGATCATGACGTGTGTATACATGTACCAAGCGTTGGATCAGATTAAATCTTTTAAGCATGCGCAGAACTTCCTGCCAAACTTGGCAGTTCTGTCTGCGTCTGGTTTTTGGGAGGCCTGACAAACGATGCGCTCGGAGCAGGCGGAAAGAAAAAAGGAGAGGGGAGGAAAAAAGCGCTTGGCAGCGAAATGTCCGAGAGAAAATGTAGAGAATGAGCGATTGAACCGGCGTCGGAGAGCGAGTGGGCAGTGGAGAGAGAAAAGAGGAAGAGGAGGAGGATAAATTCCTGCTTCCTGCAGCTTTAAATGAACTTGAGTGTATAAGTCTGCGTTCCTAGACTCCCCCCGCCATGTTGTTCACAGCGAGAGCGAGAGCGACCGGTGGTTTCCTGTTGTTGACAAGGCGCACACACGCGCAGTGAAGATTATTTTACTCTTTAGATCCGAATGGGTGTTTACATGGACGCCAATCAGAATGGCAATCGGCAAAAACCACCTCTCTCTTTCGGAATTAAATTTATTTCCGATCGGACCGAATCGGATTAGAATCTTCAGTCTGACATGTTTACATGAAACATTTTTGATCTGATCAGGCCTTCAATCCGATTATTTGTGTCCATGTAAACGTAGCTAATGAAACTATTTACACAGTTCTTGTACATTCCTGCTAAATCAGCTGAGCCACCATATTGGAGTTTTTTATTTGTTCTTATTTTTCTGACTGGTCAGAATAGTCTGTCCTGAGTATTTCTTCAAAATGTGTAGGTAGGGATGCACGATATTGGGATTTTGGCCGATATCCGATATGCCGATATTTTAAAACTCATGTAGCCGATAACCGATACCTATACTGATGTTAAAGCTGGACAAAAATAAGTAGTCATTGAAAATAGCAGTTTTGTTATCCATTCCTGACACTTTGAAAAATAATATACTCAAATATATTTTCATATGCTGATATCAAATTGATTTTTAAAAACACGGTATCGATCTATTTTACTTTCAAAATCTCGTGAAATTTCATCGTTCTGTTACAAACTCGTGATATTTTGCAAATTCTTGTGAGATTTTGTTAGTAAAATAGATCGATACCGCGTCAATATATCAACATATTAAAATATGGCAACATTTCGTGAATTTTCGGGGGATTTCGGAGCATAACGATGACATATAGCAATATTTCATTAGTAAAAGAGATTGATATGGTGTTTTTAAATGGCAATATATCAGCATATGAAGATATTGGGATATTTTAATGTATCAATATTTTTTCCCTCGTCTTTAGAAGTTTTTAAGTCTGTGAAAAAGAAGTTTTTGAGGAAGAAGAAGAAATAGTATATATATATATTTTTTTTTTTTATACTTTAGAAACTCAGAAGCTGATCAAATATCGGGTTAAATATCGGTGGGGTGGCCGATGTCCGATATTCAGTTTTAAGGCCGATACAGGCCGATACCGATAGAGGGCCGATTATATCGTGCATCCCTATGTGTAGGTATATTCTGATGTTTACAGATCATATTCTGATCTATGGTGATAGTAGAGGATTAGATACAGAGCTTTAAGAAGGAAGAAAAAGACGAAAAGTTCAGGAAATTGTCCAGAATATAGTGAAGGAACGTATGCAGTATGCAACTTAAAGTAAATAATACCAACCGGTACATCAAAGCGTCAAGCTGCCTATTACTTTCCAAATATTTTAGGCCTTTTAAAATAATGCATGCATAGGAAAGTAGTCTTTTCTTTACAGCAATTGATGTTTACAGAGGCGCCCATTTCCCATGTAGCCCTAAGTCAATTGATGATGGCAAAACTAGTCGACATAAGTGATACATTTGGCTTTAATAATCTAATAATATTCATTAAATCAAAAATGATTTTGTAATATGCCATATTTTTTTAAGTTTTAAATATCCTAACCCATTAAACAACAGTTTTTTTGCTCACCACTGCATGTTTTAGGGTGACTAGATCTAAAAAAAAAAAACAAATATGGGAAAGCTAGGATGCTGCAGCTAGGATGTGGCAGACTGAAGAATAAAATGCTTCTCTACCTGGTTCTCAGGGCCACTTCCCCTGGGGTTAGCGCTACCTTCTATAACTCTAAGCAACTTCTCTGATCTTAGTAAGATCTGTTGTCATGTCTCGTGGTTACTTAATACATATAAGTTATGAAGTGTTATTTAAAAAGTTTGTCCAGAGTGATCTCTTTTCAGGAAAAAGAACCTGAGAGAAAAAACTTCAAGGTGTAAACACAGAGCTTACCTTTAACAGTACTTAAACAAAAATTTTAAAAAGTTCCGTTTTATTCTTCCTTCCCCCGATCCCTGCCTCTATTTATATGTCAAAAGGCAGATAAAATATATATACATGACTTTTGATTGATCCTGGTTCGAATTCTGTAGGAGCCGCCATGGGGCATCTGATTAAAATGCAGGCATGATGAACAGGTCCAGAGTATTTATTGAAGCTGTATCTTGAGTTGTAACATTGAAGTTATAGAAGTTGTGATTTGGTTTATGAACGCACAACGTCCAAACAGCACAAAGGTCCACAGAACACAAGGGGTGCTTTCACCTCTCTGTCTCTCCGTCCACTGGCGTGTGCGCATGCGCCCTCGGACTCGCACCCCAGTTAACTCCACAGGCGTAGTCACGAGGGTTGCACGCCCAGGACGCATGGACAGCCAGCAAGAGGCTACCTGTTCATATAAAAGGTTCCTCGTACTTCACAACAATGACCTATTTGTCCATTTTGGTAATGCAATAAAATATTAATTTAGAGTGTGTTATAATTCTTTATAAATTTAACTTTTAAAACTAACTCCTCCAGGGTTTTAAAATCCAGTAACCTCTTATTTGTACTTAATTGTAAACACATCTTCCTCTTTATATTTTCTTTTCTGTTAAATGTATAGGTATTTATTCTAAATATCTTCCAATTGAGCAACCCTTTGATCCCAAAGTATTACTGAAATTAGTGGACACTTTCAGTGGAGCCTAATGAGTTTTATAGTAAAATATGTTTTTTTTTATTTTTAAAGCCCCATTTCCCAAATGCCCTGGGATAGATGACAGGATGTGAGCACATGGAGAAATTCTGTTTTGAAAAGCAAAACAAACAGGAACACATGGTTTCAACAACATATCAAAACTTTTGATGGGTTCAAAGGGAATCAACACTATCTAACAACACATCAGGGGGTGGTGTTGGTGACCTGTGGACCTCTGCCGCATGTCTTCCCCCTCTGTGTCAACCTTATTTACTGTCAGTAAACCATTAAAACAAAAGCTACTATTGCTAAAAAAAAAAAAATAAAAATAAAAATCTGCACATCATCCAAAGCATATAAATTATTGGTGAACTGACTGATGAAAATTTGGCAGCGCCCCTAAATATGGAGGCCCTTCACACTGTGGTGACCAGCATCCTTCTGTGCTGCAGCGTGTTAGGGAGGCAGTCTAAGGTTATTAGACATTAGAAGGAGACAGAGAAGGAAACGCTAGCTTAGTGCTTTGCTCTTTATAAATGGGCAGGATGAGGGCACCTATGAACAAGCAGTAACGAATGATGGACGATGACAGAAGCCCACCTTACAGCCTTCTGACCAGAACAGCAGCTTTAGCAGCTTATTCTCATTTTACTCCATAACTGAGCAGTTGAACGTTGTTGTTGCTCCCAGGCTGATTTGACTAGGCATAGGCTAATTAAACCACTGCTCAGGGGCCCCAATTTATCAGGGGCCCTTGATTATATGCTTGAATTTTCAGATATATCAGAGATATATGTTTTTTATTTGTCTAATGAAAATGAGAATACTACAAAATCATTTTGAGCTTTCAAAACAGATTAATTAAAAGATTTGAAACAGCTTGAATTGAAAATCTAATATTTAAAGGAACTGGTAAATTAAATTTGAAAGAGTTTGGTGAATTTGATCAGATGGCTGTGTAGTCATACTTCCCTTTTTTTATTTTATGTTTGTTCATGTATGAACTTTTTGGCTCATTTCGAGCTATCAGAGTTTCCTTTTTATATCCTGTTATTCTATATATTCAGCTTTTTAATGACATGAATATTTAGGTTTGTTTTTTCATTCTAAAGGCAGCATTTTATACTTATGTTTCTTATGTTAAAGTACACATTGTATTTTGTGGGACATTTTAATGCAAAAGTTTATTGTAAAACTCAATTGAAAATTATTATCAAATATTGGAAATTTTTTAAATCCACTATTATTTCTTAAAGGTAATGAATCAGAGCTTATGTCTGTACTCTGCCACCTCCCTTTCATTCAGGCGACTCCTCCAGCACCGTGTCTGCTCTCTGCTACACCGTAGCCAAATCTGCTAAGGGCAGCAGCCTCCACGCTCTGGAGTCCGGCTCCGACTACAAGAGCCGTGGAATGAGCAGCGACAGCCGCGTCATCTTTGGCCCCGGCGTCAGCATGTCCACCTGTGACGTGAAGCTCATCGACGACAGCGAGTACGAGCTCTCAGAGGAGTTTGAGCTGGTGCTGTCGGATGCTTCTGACAATGCCCGCTTGGGAGACGTGTCATCAGCCAAGGTTGTTATCGACGGGCCCAACGATGCATCGACTGTGACGCTTGGAAATGCGACCTTTACCTTCAGCGAAGATGCTGGTATGAGCCGCATTCGTACATCCCAATTAATAAATAATCACATAATCTAACACAAAAACCAAAGACAGGAAACAATGTCAATTCATATGGCATGTTTCCCTAACTTTGCTGGGGTTTCTGCTGTCCAGGAACCATAGAGATACCCGTGTTGCGTCAGGGAAGCGACCTAACTTCTGTGACGTCCGTTTGGTGTGCTACCAGACCTTCAGACCCCCCCTCAGCCAGTCCAGGCGTTGATTACATCCCCAGCTCCAAGAAGGTGGAGTTCAAACCTGGAAAAACCGAGGAGGTACCAAGAGAGACGACTCTTTGTATTATTCTTGGTAGTGTCCATGTTGTAGTGATGATTTAATTCTTTATAGGGCACTCAATGAAATACTTTGAAAATCAAAAATTCAGACCAATAGGGTTATTTAAATCCAGGACAAGACCTTATTACCTTTATAATATTAAAAAAATATGGATATTTTGATGGCAAAAATTATGTCAATGTAATAATAAGAAACGCCAACCTGTCCGAACAAAAGTGTTTCTATAAAAAATTCATGAAAACCACTCAAAAACAGATTTTTTTGGTACAACATAACAGTGGCATCAATACTTACATTTTTTTAGTTTATAAACCTAAATATAATTGTTAACTATGCTTATTAGCTTTTCAACTTTTTTTCTTACTTGTTAACTTGTGCTTACAACTTAATTTACAGTAGGTAATAATATATCATTTAAGGGCTCATCTAATTGGTCAAAAGCCAAAATAAGATGTATAGCCATTAACAGTATCTTTGCTGGATGGCTGGAGATCTTGTGCTTCTAGATCTCACTGAGGAGAGGGGGGGGACTCCATGTGTAAGGGGTATGCAGGTGATCAAAAACGGCAACTTGCCCTATAAAGGGTTAACGGGGCATCTTGAAGGGTTTTGATGCATTGCCAAACTGTATCAATACTGTGTTGATACTGTCTCATGGAACACTGACACCTGCTGGACCTTTGAAGACACTACAGGCAGCTTATTTTACAGACTAAACTGAATTGATTTGATGAACTAGTGCAATGATATCATTAAAGGTTATATTGTATTATTTCATATCTATGTTTAAATTGAAAATAGCCTTGTTACTTTTAGATGGAACCAATAAATGATGTAAACATATATAATACAATGAAAAATTACAGGAAAATGTGAATGAGAATGCTTGTGGATTAGATGTCACGATTTGTATGGAGGTTGATTGAGGACCCAAATGCAGAGACCAGGAAGCTGAGATGAAACATGTAGATTTAATGAGTAAATGAGGCAAAATACAAAGAAACAATGACCAGAAAACATCAAGGGAAATGCATGGGAGGGAGCCAGAGATGAGGAAGCAACAAACAACAAGGAAGCAGCACTGAGTGACTGCAGAGGTGGAATATATGAGGGGAACAGAACAAAGGATGGACTAATGAGCTCAATAAGGAGCAGGTAGGAGTGGAACTAACTATAAGGACGCAGAGGGGAAGGAAACAAGCACAAGGAGGCAACAGAGAGTAACCAGACTGCTTGAATATAATGGAAAATAAACCAAAGATCGACTAAATAGAATAATTAATGACTGAAAAATATAAACTACCGTTGCGCCGATCCCATTCTTTGGCCCTGATACCAATATCTGACTGTGCAGTATTGGCCGATACCGATACCATCTGTTTGAAATTGATGTGTTTATATATAGGGAGAACTGCAAACTACTTGGATGTAAAATAATTGCCATCATGGCTTTGTCAAGTTGCTGCCTACCTTTGTGAAGCAGGAAAAAGACAAATACAAAGTGAATCCAGTAGAACTTTTTGTTGCCTACCTGGAATGGGGGACAATAGTTGAATAAACTTGTGGCTCTCAAAATGGTATCGGTGCCCTATTTGTTGGTACTCGCCGATACCACCGTTTTAGTGCTGTATAGGGGCACCGCCCGATACTGGTATCGGTATCAGTGCAACACTACTAAAAACTCAGAGTCCCAAAAGGGGAAAACCATAAAAACTAGGTTTTTAAATCATAATTTTAAAACAATAAGTACAGTAAAAACAGGAAGAAAACTAAGTCCATTTTAAATTAACTTTAATTCAGTTGAGTGATAACTGGGAGGAAAAGTGTGACACAACGAGAAAATTTAAATAAAAAAGCAATGTCTGAAACGTTCTTATTCCTTTTAGGCTGCTCCAAAATTCATGATAATTTTAATGATAAACCGCAAAAGATGGGATATTTTTTTAGCAGATGCATCATGCTGATATGTTGAAACAGATACGTTTTTAAACACAGTTTAGTGAGTCAGTTAGAAACAACTCCAGTATTGGTGACATGACTTTCTTGAAACGACATGCGCACCGATGCAGCCATTTGCTCTATTGACTCGACGCATGCGCCGCCATATCGGTGTTGCTGGACCTATCACATGTAGGCTTGTGGTTAAAATCACAATCATTCATTAAAACAGCAGAAATTGCAATTGTCATTTTCTTAGAGATGTATGCAGTGACCTGCATGCTTTTTACAATCTTGTAATCAGTTCACATCCGTTTCCAACAGAGAAGAAATAAAAATCCAGGATGCTGAGGGACTTGGAAATAAAGCAACAACTGAAAATGTTGCATTTTTGTTCATTTCACTTTACCAGCAAGCAGTCAGAGGAATAATCAGCCTCATGTGTGGTGAGGCTATGACTGACCTTCAGAGAAGAAAACACTCACAGAAGCTTTAACAGGGGTTATCTCCATCTCAACAACAGAAAAATCACTTAAAAGGCTATCAGATTAATGACTAGAATACAATTGAATTTAACTCTAGCTTAAATTATATTATCTCATGCTTAAAGGTGAAATTACCCTTCAGAATAATTTTCTTTCCTTTATTTTTGTGGAGCAAGGGATCACTGGAGGTGAGTAGATTATAATAATCTGTCTTTCTGTCCCGGTTCCTTGGCTTAAATCCTATAGAAATGCAAAGGGATGAGCTAAAGGGAAGGGATGAGATGCAGGGATCTGGACAATGAGGAATTATCCTTCTCTCTATGATCTTAAATCGTGAATAATTTGCAAACCTTCCTTTGGTTTTTATTTTTTATTTTTTATTTTTTTTTTTAGACCTGCAGTTTGACCATCATGGATGACATTCAGAATCCATCCATCGAAGGACCCGAGTCGTTTGTTATCTTCCTCAGTTCTCCACAGGGGGCAGTCCTGCAGGAACCCTATGAGGCCAATATTTTCATCACTGACACTTTCCAGGACAGTATGTACCTGAACCAAGGCTCTAGGTTTACATAAGTTAAAGCCAGTTTAGAAGCACTTCTCTGAAGCTCATCTTCTTCTTTTGTCTCAGTTCCTACCATGCAGTTTGAGAAGACCTCCTATACTGTTAAGGAGAAGGACACGGTACTTCACCTCCCAGTCATCCGGACTGGAGACCTTTCCTTCAAGTCATCGGTGCGGTGTTTCACTCGAACCATGTCTGCCATGGTGATGGATGACTTTGTGGAAAGAAGGAACGCTGATGAATCCCAGATCACTTTCCTCAAAGGCGAGAAGGTAATATGCTGACCCAAACTGTCAAAAACAAAACAATGTTTGGTGTATTGGTGAACTTACGTCTTTGTTGGTTTATCAGGTGAAGAACTGCACAGTTCACATCAACGACGACTCTGTTTTTGAGCCTGAGGAGGAATTCCAGCTGCATCTTGGTACGCCGCAGGGTGACCATTGGAGCGGTGCGATGGTTGGAGTTAATGACATTGTGACAGTCACCATAACCAATGATGAAGATGGTAAGTTGACCCTGAATATTTGACAAACTATTACCTGCAGCTGGTGTAAACCCACTGTGGAAAACTCCCAAATGTGTAGAAAAAAGCTGGACATGCTGTACAGATCACATCCTTCAGCAAATCAGCTTTATTCATATGAACCTTTTTCAAATTTCAAGTGACACAAATGATTTTACAGTAAGAAAAGCATAAAACAAAGAGAAATGAAAGATGCTGAGCAAGAGCTCTAGAAACGTACATAAAGAGCAAAACTAAAAAGCATCAGAAGGGATTTTGAAGAACTGGTGCTGGGATAAAGACAATGGCGTAACTATCGGTAAGCAGAGACTGCAGTTGCTTAGGGGGCCCCAACCTCTTAGGGGCCCCGTTACTGACACCTGGTTGGTCCCCTATGCAATTGTGGACTAGGACGTATCTTTGCAGATGTAATGGTGCGAAAAATTCCTATTTTACCCACCTGGTGCTAATATGTCTGACCGGACCTTATTTATACCCAAACACATTCCAGATTTCAACATGATGGTGAGCCGTTTAAACACGACATTAATTGCAAAGCAGAGAGTGGTACTTTTAATTACTTTGCTAATAACTGTGTATAGTTAGTTAGACAGTTGGTAATGGGTGTTGTACTTCCTATGGGGCCCACCCAGATAATGTTGCTTATGAGCCTATTGTTGAGTTGTTACGCCATTGGATAAAGAACCACTCTTCCAAGTCCGAGGTCATGGTTCTAGACTGTAAAAAAGGGGGATTTTCCTCTTTCAGTTGCAGTAATGCAGATACTGCTTCAGTCCATTAAGGTGAAGAGAGAGTGAACTGGAAGGAGAGGTTCCTGATAAACTGATCAGTGCCCTTTAGTTTGCATTTAGTTTACATTGAGAAATGAAACTGAATTTAAAACAGACCTTAGGTTTTTATTTTATTTGATCTTTTTTTATTTAATCTTTAACAGAAAACCATAAGCCGTTGAGCAGACGGATGCTAACTGGGGGAAAATAGACAAAAATGTTTATAAAGCAATGTATAAATTGTGCATGTTGGGATAAATCAGTGCATTTAAAAGTCTTTTAGATTCATGGATTTCCAAGTGTTTTGCTAAATTATTGAGTGAGAACTAAATTAATAGATTTTCTTGGGTTGCTTCTCTACTCCAAGGATATAACTGCTAAATTTTCTATGTTTAAACTTGAGTTGTTCTTGTTCTTTAGTTCTAACAATGTTTTCAACCAACAGACACATTAATCATGTTGAACATCAGCTGATTCTATTGATTGTCTTCTTCTGTTCCGCCCAGCTCCCACCATTGAGTTTGAACAGGCTTCCTACCAGGTCAGAGAACCTCCTGGTCCAGACGGTGTTGAGGCGCTCAACATCAAGGTGAATCGCCGTGGAGACCTAGACAGAACCTCCAAGATCCGCTGCAGCACCAGGGACGGATCGGCCCAGTCTGGAGTGGATTATAATCCCAAGAGTCAGGTCCTAAAGTTTACCCCAGGTCAGTGGAGAGAACCTCTGGTCCACTTTCCAGTGTGGGACTTCACAGGGGTTAGACTGTCTCTTCTTGTTTTGAAGGCATGGACCACATCATGTTCAAGGTGGAGATCCTGTCTAATGAAGAAAGAGAGTGGCATGAATCCTTCTCCCTGGTTCTTGGTCCTGATGATCCGGTGGAGGCTGTGCTCGGTGAGATCACCACGGCAACAGTGACTATCCTGGATCAGGAGGCTGCAGGCAGTCTCATCCTCCCGGCACCACCGATAGTAAGAAGAACCTCTGTGCTGTCTTGAAATGATCTCTATCTTTTTTTTTAACTCTGAATCACCTCCTTTCCTTCCTCTTCAGGTGGTCTCTCTGGCTGACTATGATCATGTCCAGGAGGTGACCAAGGAAGGCAGTAAGAAAACCCCCTCTCCTGGCTACCCTCTGGTCTGCGTGACTCCCTGTGACCCCCACTACCCAAAGTACTCCGTAATGAAGGGGCACTGCGACGAGGCGGGAATCAACCAAACCCAGGTGCACTTTTCCTGGGAGGTGGCAGCACCAACGGACTCAAGTGGAGCTCGTTCCCCATTCGAGACGGTGACGGACACCACCCCCTACACCAGTGTCAACCACATGGTGAGACGAGATGGTTCACTGCGGGAACAAAGATAACATGGTAGATAGGGATGGAATGAAATAATAAAGTTAGGATTTATTGTCAATTTATGGTTTATTTAGATCAAAATTTGTTCCTTCAGATTAATTGATAATGTCTACCGTATTTCCTTGACTATACGCACCTACTTTTTTTGCAAGATTTAAACCAAGTGGCTTATCTGCTAACCATCAGGAGTCGGAAGTCAAAGTTGGTAATCAAAGAAGAAGGGGCTAATTTTCATTTAGAATATTCATTCAGAGAACAAATGCGTTGTTCACTCATTTTAACATTGATTTGCAATAAAACTGTTGAACCAATGAAGAGACTTTGCTTCAGAGCTGAAATAAAGAGCTGACGAAGTCTTTCATTAGAGGCTTTTATTGCTGTGAGCCAACAAGCTAATAGGAACTGGTATTCTTCGTCCCCTACTTAAATTTCTTACAGTGATGTTACTGCTGTTCACCAGAGTGCACTGTCGTTCATTCTAAAGCAGAGCCTCACTAGTTTTTTCAAGAGAAGTAATTCTAGAGCAAAAATATGAATCGATCCACAGTCCGGTCCAGGATTATTTACACTGTTTAACAGTCACAAGGATGCAGAATGAGCTTCATGGGGTTCTGTTTGTAAATATGAACATTTGATGAGCTCCTTAATGGTATAAGGGAAGATTTTCCCTCATTTCAATTTTTAAAAAATGCGCATGCACAATCTGTACCTGCTCCCGAGAGGGAACGCCTATTAAAGTTACAACATATAACTAGCATGATGACTTTTATTAGCAGTGATGTTAAATTAATTTCTCCAAATAACATTCCAAACTTTGCCTGTCGAGTAGAAACTTTGCAACCGATGCATCAGTGGGAAGCCCGACCTGTGCTTTTAGTGTACGCCATCGCGTGAAAGAATCTCCCAAAAACACTCTGGTCTTCATTCTCTTCTCTCAGGCCTCTCTCTTCTTCTCATACTCACACACTTTTTCGCTTACGACCCTCGGCCATTTACAAAGAACCGCGCTGAGAAAGCCGAGCTTTGATCACTGTCTGAAACCGTAGCTCACCACAGATATGCAGTGAAAGTGTGCATCTGCAGAAAAAAGATCTGGGGACGAGCACGTAGGACGGCCTTACATAAAAACATCACCAAAATGATTGACAATTAGGAGGACCACTTATTTAGATGATTCACCCAGAAAAAGAAAATCCTCCACTTTACCTCTAAGTTATAACCTAAATAGCCCCTATTCCGCTGTGCTGCACTACAAAGCAGCATAACTTTGCTGTTGTGCTCAGACCATTACGATGTAATTATACAAAGGTTACAGAAACATTTGTTACATGACAGCATCCAGAATCTCCCCTTCAACAGTGTAGCTGACAGCACAGTCCAGCACTGGAGGCTGGATTACACTATAAACAGAGAGCTATATCACAAATAATAAACTGTAAGAATTTTAAATAATTTTTTATTGAGGCAGTATTTAATACAGCTGATACAATAAATTGTTAAAACTACAATGTCCTGCTTTTTATTTTAATTGAGCATGTAAAATATAAATGTAGCCCTTCAGGTTTTGGAAAATGTCTGCTTATTAATCGCTAAAATTCATCAACTTTAGATTAAATAATTTACTAATAAATTTTAAGTTGTAGACCAGATGTGCATTCCAGGTCAGTTCAACCCCTACAAGGTGGGAGGTATTGCTTTAAATCAGCTGGACGGTTTAAATCAGTCTAGTTTCTGGGATCACTGAGGGCTCGTTTATTTGTTTGCAGTATAAGCCTAATTTCTCTAACTAAATATTTAAATTTTTACCCTCACCTCATTTTCTCCCCCTCAGGTTCTGGACAGCATCTACTTCAGCCGTCGCTTCCACGTCCGCTGCGTGGCTCAGGCCCGGGATAAAGCCGGTCACCTCGGCACGCCGCTTAGAAGCAACATCATCACCATCGGCACAGACGGCTCCATCTGCCACACCCCTGTTACCACGGGAACCGCCAGAGGCTTCCAGGCCCAGTCGTTTATTGCTACGCTTAAATACCTGGATGTCAAACACAAAGAGCACCCCAACCGGTCTGCAGTGTCTAAAAACTATTGTTGAGAGCTTTGTCCAAGCCTTATTTTTCTAAATAAATGTTCTGCTCTCTTCTCTCCACAATCAGCATCCATATCTCAGTGCAGATCCCACACCAGGACGGCATGCTCCCTTTGGTGTCCACCATGCCGCTGCACAACCTGCACTTCCTGCTCTCAGAGTCCATCTACAGGCAGCAGCATGTCTGCTCCAACCTGGTCACCATCAAAGAGCTGCAGGGGCTTTCTGGTATGTAAGACTCTCTCTAAAGGTACAGATAATCACAGCAGAGAGGTTCAGTGGGCGAACTTTAAATTCAACTTAAAGATAATTAACCAGAATTTTTTGGTTTAAAGACTGAGACCGACTTTCAGAAACAATGTTCTTCCGCAGAGTCTGGCTTCCTGGACGACGTATCCTACGACAGCATCTCGCTGGGTCCAGGCTATGACCGGCCATATCAGTTTAACCCCAACGTCCGTGAGGCCAAGAGCATCCAGCTGTACAAACACCTGAACCTGAAGAGCTGCATCTGGACCTTTGACGCCTACTACGACATGACCGAACTCATCGACATCTGCGGGGGCTCGGTCACTGCTGATTTCCAGGTGTGCAGAGAAACGCTTCTAAAACATCATCTACACTTTGAACATTTTGTTTTTTGTAAAAATGCAGCAAGAGATTATTTATCCCAAAAGAAAGTTTTTTTTTGCTAATTTAGGACTTCATCTTTTTGTTTTTGCATTTTTTCCCACCATAGACATGGATATTCTGAACTAAATATTACAACGTTTAGCAGTTTTTCTTCCAAGGTTTACCCTTGTTATATAAAAATCAGATTAAGTTAATTGTTTTTGGAAGTTGTGTATTATTTCATGTAAATAAAAAGTAAATCTGGAGGAAAAACTATATATATATGCGCAGTGACACCGCTAATAATTATTCAAAAGACTTCTGATTAGACAGACAAACACTTAGTGACATCTTCTTAGGAAAGAGAGAGGTTCAAGGGGTCACCACTAAAGAAGCCATTGTTTACATATGGCTGTATCCAAGTGCACTCATAGAAAGTTGAGTGGAAGGTAAGAGTGAGGGAGGAGGGGGTGGCTCAAGAAACAGGGATTCTTTTTTACAGTTTTCATAAAAATGCATACTTCCTTTCTCTTAATTTTAATACTTTTTTTCAAAGTGTTTTTTAACTTTTTCTCTAATCTAGGTTTTATGGTCTCATGTTTAGCTAAAAAAATATCTCAGCTCAAAGTTGCCACTAGACATTTGGACACTAATCTAAAATGGCGTAACCACTATATAGTGATTAGAGTGGACATTTTGACGCAGCCCTAGACTAAAGCTTGGATATTAGCTCTGCAGAATCCAAACTAAACGTACTGCTTTCTCTCTCTTTTTGTTTTGGTTTTTTAGGTTCGGGACTCGGCTCAGTCCTTCTTGACTGTACAGGTTCCTCTCTACGTGTCCTACATCTACGTGACGGCCCCCAGAGGCTGGGCATCTCTGGAGCATCACACTGAGATGGAGTTCTCCTTCTTCTATGACACGGTGCTCTGGAGGACAGGTCAGACGAAGCACTGGTCTAGGGCTGTTGTAAACGAATATTTTAGTAATCGAGTAATCTATCGATTATTCTTACGATTATAAAATTATTAAAAAAAACTATTGGCAAATCTGCAATAACACCAGTTAGTCCAGATCAGTCCAATATCTCCTTTTTGAGCATCCCTAGCAGTTAAATGTTTGTAGTTTAGAAAGTTTACTTGTAACAGTAGTTTGCTTTAACCTGAAGAAAAGTTATAAGATATTAAATTATATTCAAATAATAAAGTGGCAGGCTCAAAAATATGCTTATAAAAATGTCTAAATGTAAAGGTTTGAGTTTGTACAGAGTTCTGCAGCCTTAACTAGTCATGATAAAATGCAAAAATGTTGCTATTTTTATTAAAACGATGCTATTATTTATTCTTGATTGCTTAGGTATAAACAAATATAGAATTACTACAAAAAATATTAATCAAAAATTTCTAATTCATACATAACAGTAGCGAGAAGAAAAGACTGTAACTTTTCAGGATGGAAAGACACCAATAAATAAATGCTTTTCAGCTTATGCCTGTAATCTGTTGCTGCGTATTTTTATTAACAAACTTACATTAAGTCCTGCATAATTTCTCTCAGTTCCACCCTCACATACAATTTACACTACACCCGGTTAAGTAACCGCTATGTTTAGATGTAACGTTAGCAAAATAGTGTGCCTCAATTTACATCTATAACATGGCAGATTATCACACAACGTAGTTAGCAAAGAGAACATAAACGTTACCTGTTGGCAACCGTGTACGAGTTGGATGCATGTAGCGGGTGTTTTCTCTTCAGATGCTGCAACATTGATGTCGTGCTGTTGTGGTACGCCAATTCTGCTTTGCAGTGGATGCATTGCGCTGTGTTGTCCTTTCTGTTTAGCCTAAAATGTTCCCAAACTTTGGACATTTTTTGTCGCTTTCGGGGTTCTCCTTCTGAGCTTTCTCCGGTTCCCTCCATAGCTACAAACTTAGCACAAGCGCTCCAGGCGCTAACGGAAGTGGTAGCGTTGTGCAACACAAAAACCCTCCGGCTAGACCAGTGTGCTGCGTATTTAACAGCATTGCTTATTACAATACAATAAATTTAGCGAAGCTTCGAGGCAGATAAATTTCCTCGAGGATTTTTTGTAATCGAGTTACTCGAGTTACTCGATGAATCGTTTCAGCCCTACACTGGTCTCACTCCTGATTATTCTCTTTGCAGCTTTGCATCCAAAAGTGAAATTAAAACCCTGCATGGTTTAACATCAGATAACACAGACAGAGGTGATTTAAACGTGCTTGCACTTTGCTTCTTATCTGGGTTGTGTTGTTTTCCTGCATGCAGGCATCCAGACAGACAGCGTCCTATCTGCCAGGCTGCAGATCATCAGGATCTTTATCAGAGAGGATGGACGGCTCGTGATTGAGTTTAAAACTCACGCCAAATTCAGAGGTCAGTTCCTCGCCACAAAGAAATGCTCATCAGAGCGGCTCAGATTACTTTTTAGGTTTAGAAAACATTCATTCTCAAATAAAGGTTGCTGCTGTTTGTTTAGTGATCTTATCACTGCCATTTTTCCTCTCCCAGGTCAGTTCGTTCTGGATCACCACACTCTCCCGGGCCACAAGTCCCGTCTGATGGCACCCGACCACCTGGGAGGCATCGAATTTGACATGCAGCTTCTGTGGAGCGCTCAGACTTTCGACTCGCCGTATCAGCTGTGGAGGGCCACCAGCTCCTACAGCAGGTGTGAACATTTGACTTCATTCAAGTCACATCTGTCTCTGTAGACCTTTCTGGAAGCTTCCTGCCTAATGATCCATGCTGTGTGATACAGGAAGGACTACTCTGGGGAATACACCGTGTTTTTGGTCCCGTGCACCGTGCAGCCAACGCAGCCCTGGATCGACCCCGGAGATAAACCTCTGTCCTGCACGGCTCACGCTCCAGAGAAGTACGGACTCACAGCTGCTATAAAACCAAGGGATCCATTAAACATCGGGGTAAATCCTGAACTTTTTTATGTTCTTTGACAGGTTCCTCGTTCCGATCGCGTTCCAACAGACCAACCGGCCCGTTCCGGTGGTTTATTCCCTCAACACGGAGTTCCAGCTGTGCAACAATGAGAAGGTTTTCCTGCTGGATCCAGCCACCGCCGACATGTCCATGGCTGAGATGGACTACAAGGGAGCCTTCTCCATGGGTAGGAGTCATATTAGAGAAAATGATGCTGTATTTATCCTCCTTGGATTTAAACATCCCAGTATAGCTTTCATGTAAATAGAATCTGTTGAATGATATTCTTCATTTTACTGTTTCTTGTGGATATTTAAGTTTAATATTCTAGATGTCGTGACAGGCAACTCGTTGCAGAACCATATGGATGGAGCGCAACAACCTACTCTCCCTGCCTTAACCAAATCTGTGTTTCCTTAATGGCTAAAGCTCTTTACTTTATCTCCTCTTCAGTCATACCTCACTGTGGGGGGCTAGAAGTTGGTTGGCGGGGCAAACAGCCTTGAAGTTTGTTGTGCACCACTTAGAAAATGTTTAAACACCTCTTTCCCCCCTGCAGGTCAGACTCTGTACGGCAGGGTGCTGTGGAATCCGGAGCAGAACCTGAACGCGGCCTACAAGCTGCAGTTGGAGAAGGTTTACCTTTGCACCGGCAGGGACGGCTACGTTCCCTTCTTCGATCCAACAGGGACTCTTTATAACGAGGGGCCGCAGTACGGCTGCATCCAGCCCAACAAACATCTCAAACACAGATTCCTGCTGCTGGTATAAATTCAAACATTTACTTTTTTCACTCATTTTTGTTTTTATTTTTATTTGCATCATTATTGGGTTTATTGTTGGTGTTTTTTATTTTTTTTCAATGTGCATTTCTTTCAATCCTTCCGTTGTTTTTTAGATATCTTTCTGAAAGGTAATAATTGATTTAAACCAACTCTAAGGAACTTCAAACTAATAGAATGACACCTCTGTCATGACCCGACGGGGTCTGTATTGCTTCACTGACACTAAGCAACTTAGAGGAGGATGGCAGTGTCCCTGCCTCACAAAACAAATATCAATTTGCAGACTGCTTTAAGGCAAACGTCATCTCTCTCTTTTCAAATTGGCTAGAAAGACGAAGGTCACTGCGACTAAATTCCCCTAAGAAACTATATTTGTGCAAAATATGCAGGGTTGTTATTCAGGCAATGCGGCAGCTTCCTGCTATGCTTCTGTTTGCTGTGAAGTCATCCAACTTATTTATGTATCTCAAGGCTCTAAACTCATCAGCATATCAGTCGCTGAAATGTGACATTGTTTCGCCATAATGAGGATTTTACAACAATTTGGTCTTTACCACTCTGTTCACCGAGGAAAATGCTGTCTTCCTTGAAGCAAAACAATACAGATTTTGTCCACCGGGGGAGCCAAATCACACCAAAACTGAAAGTTCTTTAATTCTTTAGAACCAGTTTAAATGCTTTAGTTGGCTTTTTTTATGCTGGTTATTCTGGTACTCTGGTTTAAAGTCTAATATAAAAACAATATAGATTAAACCACAAAGTTTCATTGAAATATATTTCTCATTAATAATGTAGTTTATTTTAATCTAATATAACCTTAACATGTCCTTACCGTTTTCTCTCTGAAATACTCCAAAAAAAAATTTAAGCTTGCATAATATTTGCATTACCATATGGTTACCTGTTTTAATTCACTTAGCTTTTGTTATTGGTAAACATTTATGGTCTGGTTATGGTCAAAGTCTGCGCAACACAACCAAGCAACAAAATTTAAATAGAAATAAAAAATCCACGATTGCATCACTATACCCATATTCTCCATCTTTGCTTTTCAGGATCGTAAACAGCCGGACGTATGTGACAAGTTTTTTCATGATGTTCCCTTCGAGGCTGATTTTGCCTCGGACGTCCCAGAGCTGCAGGCCATGGCCGCGATGCCTGGTGTTGATGGCTTCACCATGAAGGTGGATGCTCTTTACAAAGTGAGTAGACCTCCTGTTCTCAAGTTGTTTAGGGTATCTTTTCATGATGAAAAATGAAAGAAAGAGGCGACAAAAGGGAGACCATGATAAAAAGTCTTCTGTCTGCTTCATCACCTGCAAAGAGAGATTACTTCAGATTTTAAATGTTTGGGCGGCAGCCATCATGATTAGAAAAGTTTATTAATGTATAGTATCCACCTAGATGGCTGATCCCTTTAATGCATCTGTCTGACTGACAGGTGGAGGCGGGCCACCAGTGGTACCTGCAGGTGATCTATGTGATCGGCCCAGAGTCGCGCTCCAGCCCCAGGATTCAGCGCTCAGTGACCTATCTGCTGCACCGACCCAAACGAGACGTGGTGGACCGTAACGGCCGGCTGACGCTCGACGAATCACTAATCTACGACAACGAGGGCGACCAGGTGAAGAACGGCACCAACATGAAGTCGCTTCGCCTGGAGGTCGGCCCGTCAGCCACATTCAACGCCCATGTGGGCGGCTCTGTGGGCGGGGGGGTGGCGGCTATCACCCTGCTGGTCTTGGCGCTGCTGGCCTCCTGCTTCCTGTTCCGCCGCTGCAGAAGGTCGGCCAAAAAGGTGACGAAGGTCCCGAAAACCTGCGAGGAGTATCCGCTCAACACCAAGGTGGAGGTGTGCATGGACAAGTGCATGGAGAAGAACTTCAGTACCAAGCAGTGCACGGTGAGGAACGTCAACATCAACCGCAGCCAAGAGGCCAACGGCAAAGTGAAACAGGTCAACCTGGAAGTGAAACTCCACAACAACCTCAGCGACGGCACTGAGGTCTGAAGCACTGACGAAGGACTAATCGGTGAAAAGAGAATCAAAATATCTTATTTTCTAAAATACGATTCGTACTTAAAGAACAGAGATGTTTTTGTTTATGTATTTTTATACCACAGTGAAAAAGGGAAGAGTGTGACGTGCAGGCGACTGGGCAAACTCAGGAATCCACAAACTGCTCAGCTGCATGGTCTTCATCTTTATTTCTGTTCTCTTCTAAATCCATATTGGTTTCACATCCATCGAGGTGAACAGTAGCTCCACACTGGTGATTTTTATCTTCTGCATCGTTACATCACACTGATATAAACGTCACTCTGCTGTATGAAGAAGCAGGCAGGAAAAGACCTTCTGCTTTGCTGCATCTTCACTTCATCCATCACGCAACTAGTCCTGCAATATAAGAATCACTAAAACAACTCCTGCATCTGCTGAAGCGGCTTGAATATAAGGCACAAAGGAACGTGCTGGTGTCTGTCGCAGGCTACGCGAGTGCTGATAACTTAAAAACGAATGAAACCTTTAAGTGCGATTATGTCACAACCTTAGTTACTCCCTTCTTCACGAGAAAGAGCTTTGACTTCTTTCATTAAAATGTGTTTTAAGCCTTATTTACACCTCCTTTACTCTAGATCACCAAAACACACCTAGATCTATACATATCATACCCCGCACATCATCTATCTCTGTTATAGGGAGCCCTTTGTGTTCTTAGTAAGACCGCATCAAGACCTCATTATGACCTTTCCAAACCCTACCTATTTTTGCAACAATCTTCAGACCATAAGCTTCAATTAGTTTCTTAACTTGGTTACAGCGAGCCAACTGTGTTTTAATAATTTTTTAGGGTTTTTACGGCACTAGTTGTTCATTTTCTGTAGGTAGAAGGGGGGGAGAGACATGCAGCGAAGGACCACAGGTCAGATTCGAACCCAAGTCGGTTGAGGACTAAGGCCTCCATATGTGGTTCGCATGCTCCTACCACTGCGTCACCGAAGCACCCCCATGTGTGTTCTTATTAAAACAACATCAAGACCTTTTACCTTTGCTTATTGTGCTCTGTCTTGCCATTGGGGACGCTTGTGTCCCTAATAAAGCCGGGCATACACTGTATGATATTTTCAATCGTTGCATTCAGCTTTAGCTCAAACTGTGTGGCATGCCACAGGGTTTAAAGGTTCACAGCTTACGATGTACATTCTTGCACTGTACGGACCGACGCTCTAATGCGATCTACCTGCTCATACTGTACGTCAATCTGGAGGAAGTAGAAACCGAACTCCCCTGTTTGGACATGTTTAGTGCGTGAAGTTCTGGTAAATCGGCTCGTAGACGCCCGTAGCTCTGCCTCAACAGCAGGATTTGTCCATGAACACCTTACGACGGCCGATATCAAAGATGTTTGATTTTCTCCCGACCTTACGATTCCTGATCGGGAGTTGGTCGTGAGAGGCTAATGTCCATCATTACCCCCTGTATATTACATGACACAGGACGCACGATGAGGCTGAAACTCGGCACAATCCAAAAAATTCTCGCACAACTGGAAAATCTGCCCAGAAAAGGGCAAAAATTCGTACAGTGCATACCTGCCATAAGACAGCATCAATACTTCAACAAGACTCTGCTTCCGTCTCTGCCACTTGCATTGTGTTATATCCAGGTAATAAATCCTCTGTGATCCGTTGGTCATGCCTCTTCAACCTCTAACTTGATGCTCTTTGTGCTCCCATTATCACCTGGTCAGGATCTTGCAGGTTTCTTTGTTTTACGTTGGGGGGGGGGTCTTCATTCAGTGTTAAAGTGGGGGTTTAAACATCTGTATTTACTGCCATTTTGACGTTTTTCTCCTATGCCCATACCTGTACTGTATTCACACAGCTGCCAGTTTTTAAGTGCCATGCAGTATTTTGTTCTTATGTGACTGAAAACAGGTCGTCCAAAGTATTTCGACTGAAGAGCGTAGGAGTGTTTATTTCCATGTGATTGTTCCAAATCCATCCAACTGACTGACAGCTTCAGCCTTACTACCGTTTGAGTGAAAAGAATCGCTTTTTAAACATGTATTTTATATGATTGCTGTCTCTGCCTGCCTTTTGTTCGACCCAAAGACTCATGGTTCAGTATCTGTTACTTTTGATTCATTTATGCATCACTGAATTACTCTTGTCTGATGTGTTATATCACAGCCCAGCTACTGATGTTATGTTTTAAAGTGTTTAACACTGGTTTGTTTGTGAAATATATGTATTTCTTTTCTTAAAATAAGTGTATTTTACCTTGTTTTTGCAGTTAAGTAACAGTTCATGTCAACGGAATAAGATTATTTACGTTTAAAATAAGAAAAAGCAGCCCCTTCATCTTATTTCAAGCGTTTAATGTGTAATTATCTTATTTTAAGGCCAGAAATACTCATTCCATTGGCAGAACATTTTGTTTACCTGCTCAAATTAAAGACAAGTACACTTATTTTAAGAATTATGTACTTATTTTAAGATCAGTTTTTGTGATTTATTTTTCTGCTTCACCATTTCTTTTTCAACATGTGTGCCTAGTAAACATGAACATGGGGGAATTTTGGGGGAAATATATTTTTGGTGCTATAACATTTGGAGAACACAGTAATATTAGTATGATCCCTGTATTTGGTGCCTTTTTTAGTAATAAAACCTAGAAAATTTCAAATGTGTTTGAATTATTTATCTATAATTGTTTATCTGTGACGTGAAAACTTTTTCCTGGTGGGAAAATTCAAACATTCAAAAGTCGAAAACATTGACATCACTGTTGTTTGACTTTTTTTTAATGTTTCTGAAGCAAACTTTAAAGACTTTTAAGGATTTTTCTGTGAAATATTTATCCAAAAAACCACTTTTTTTTTATTCTTTCATATTAACACAAGAAGTTGCTTTCACACACATCTGTTCCTCTTTAATGGTGACCAGTCTGCTAATTGGATTGAAATCCATCTTAACCCTGACCTGATTTTACTAGAATGCAAAAATGATCCATCTAACCAAAAGCTTATTTTAAGATGATATAATATGCAACCATAGGTTCTGTTAAATTATTTATCTATTGCTTATCTTAGTGTTGCACCGATACCAGTATCGGACGGGGCCCCAATCCAGCACTAAAATGGTGGTATTGGCGAGTACCAATGTAACCCTCTGGGTTCCCAGAAATGTGTGTTATTGTTGTTTTAAAAATGACAAGGCTAACAAATTTAATGTCGGTAAATTAATATCTTAAAGTAAGATATAATAATATCCAAGACTTATGGTGGGAGAAAAATAACTTAAAAAGTCAAAGTAAAAGGACTGGTTAATATGTGTTGTTAAAATGTGGTGTTCTGTTTCTTTAAGAGAGAACAAGTATGGTATAGTTTATATGGAAAGCACACCTCAACACGAGGTGTGACAGACAAGGATGCTGTGTTGACCTTTGCTATTGGGCAACTGCTATTCTCCTAAAATCTGATTGGCCGGGAGGCGGGACAAGAGGAGAGCGAAAAGAAAAGAGAGAGGAAAAAGAGAGGATTATAGTGTGTGCGGGAAGGACGTCGGGGAGGAGACTTGGCGGAGTGCCGCTGGAACTTTGAGTGAGCCGTTGTGTGAGAAAAGCTTGCTCACCCGTGCAACTACTGAGTGGTTGGAGGACCGAGTAAGGACGGCTGCCGGACTGAGAGCGACGCGTTCGGTGAGCTGAAACGGAGGGTTGCCAAGGAGACGGTGGATCCGGAGAGACCTGCTGCACCAGCGGTGGGTTGAGGTGTGGATTTTCCTCGCCTTCGCGGATAAAGGAGTGCTGGGTTCGACTGCTGTCAGGAGACAGGAGTCGTCGGGAGCTTACCTTCATCAGTTGGGTCGAGGTTTGGTTTTTCTTCGCCTTCGCGGATAAAGGAGTGCTGGGTTCGACTGCTGTCAGGAGACAGGAGTCGTCGGGAGCTTACCTTCATCAGTTGGGTCGAGGTTTGGTTTTTCTTCGCCTTCGCGGATAAAGGAGTGCTGGGTTCGACTGCTGTCAGGAGACAGGAGTCGTCGGGAGCTTACCTTCATCAGTTGGGTCGAGGTTTGGTTTTTCTTCGCCTTCGCGGATAAAGGAGTGCTGGGTTCGACTGCTGTCAGGAGACAGGAGTCGTCGGGAGCTTACCTTCATCAGTTGGGTCGAGGTTTGGATTTTCTTCGCCTTCGCGGATAAAGGAGTGCGGGGTTTTACTGCTGTCAGGAGACAGGAGTCGTTGGGAACCTACCTTCATCATTTGGGTTGAGGACCCGGGGTGAGTGGAGTCAATAACAGGCCTGCAACAGGGGGTTTGAATGACTATTTTGCCGGCATTTATTTGTTTTCTTTTGTTGGGTGGGCCCACCACTTAAACCATACCAGTTAGGGTGTACATTTTGTGGTTATAAATAAGAAATGTTATGTGTTCCGGAAAGTTATAAATAAGTTACTTTTGAGCTAACAAGGTGTTTAATACTGAGGGAGAGTCCCTATTTATCAACCAGTAGGTTGATAAAGTCTGGTTTACTTTTATTTGTTATTTGTTTTAATATTAGTAAGGGTAACAAAGAGACATTTGGGTCTAAATGTGGTTCCCACAGTGATAAGAGTGGTATAGTTTAATTTCTATTTCTTGAGTTAAAGAATAAATTCTTTATTCTTATAAAGTGTCCTTATTTCTGGGTCAGACATACTCGGTTTCACTGGCAGGACCATGGGGTGCTACAGTTAGCTTTACGAACCCGAAGCGTTAAATCTAGCATAGATGACAGAAAGCGCTACATAAATGGAGGCACCGCTGGGATTGGAATTCGAAAAACAATAAAATAGATAAGTAAACAATAAAATAAACTTGCATGTGAAAGCTAGTCCCCAAGGTTTCTTTAGTTAGGCTGTGTTTTTTTTTTTGGTTACTGTCTGACCCAGATTACTAACTTGGTTAAATTGAACCTGTAGTTTAACAAGGGAAAAGTAAGAACTACTTAAAACTTTCCAAAACAGAAATAAGTTAGTAAAACATTAACTACAAAATGTCTTTGTTGGAAAATTGGTGTATAGGGGAGGGCTTAGATGCATCCCTTGCACTTGTAGTAAAACAGGTCCCCGTTGAGACCACAGTTAAGCACAATGAAGAAACTTTGATGACTATCAAAGTCCTAGGACGAGTTAGGGTGAGAGGGCGCATGTTTAACCCTCAATCACAGTCCTTGATGGTTTTATGTGAGTGTAGTGAAAGAGTAAACACAAAAACTATACCGCTGGATGTGCCGCCTATTGAAGGAGGGGAACTGTGGACATTGCATGGGCCTGCAGATGAAGAAAACGTCAACCCTGAAAAGAGACAAACAGATCCTCTCTCACAAGATAGTCCTACATCTACTGAAGAAGCAGCTGCACCAGAAATGCTGTCATCAGAAGCTATGCCAGGAAACTTGGCAGAGTCGATCATCAGAGCGGTTGGTGATCTGCTAGCAAAGACACTGAAGCCTGCCCAAGAAAGTAATGTCTTCAGGCGTCTCCGAACATATTCTGGCATAAGTCCCACACCTCCAGGAGAGGAGAGTTTGGAGACATGGATGGAGCAAGCACAGCTAATGGTGGATGAGAGTGACTGTTCCTTTCGAGAGAAAGGGAAAAGGATCGTAGAAAGCCTGAAAGGACCCGCTCTGGAGATTGCTCAAGCCATAAGAGCTAATGATCCAGATGCATCCCCAGGGGAATATATTGAAGCTCTAGAAAGAGCATTTGGATCCCCAGAGAGTCCTGAAGATCTCTACTTCTCCTCCAGAGCCTTACGCCAAAGCTCAGGTGAAAGATTTTCTGATTTCTGACGGAGAGTAGAGCAAAAACTAACAAAAGTGGTTCAGCGAGGAGGGATAACTCCCAATATGAGAGACAGTACACGTGTGGACCAGCTCCTTCGTGGAACCACAGAGTCCGAAATAATGCTACTACAATTACGCCTAAGAGAAAGAAAGCGTAATCCTCCTCCCTTCCTGACACTGTTGAATGAAATCAGAGAACAAGAGTTTCAACAAGCAGTAAGGAAGAAAAATATTGCTCCTTCTGCTAGACCAATTGTCAGGCAAGTGAGGGTGGAAGATGAAAATAAGTCAGAATCTGAAGTTCAGGAGCTGCGGGCTCAAGTCCAAATGCTGCAGTCCCAAGTGTCTGAACTCACAACTGGACAGTTAAAAGCCACCTCGGATGCTCAAAATGCATTCCACACAGATGACATGAAACCCAGAAAAAATTATGAAGTTCAGGCTTTGAGAAAACAAGTTGAGGATGTGCAACATCATCTCAACATGATGACGGTGACACACACAAATCCTCCTCAGACTAAAGGTGCAAGATGGAGACCAGAAAATAAAGTGAATAAAGCTCCCCCTCACCTTAGTAGCCAAAGACCTACTCACACCA